AAATAAATAACAGTACTACTAACTGTTATTTTTTAAGTTACAAGAAATTCAATAAAATACTTCTTCCATCGTCACAAAGCCGATCCTGACAATAAAAAGCAATATGTTATTTTAATTCAGTACCCAGAAGGTTGAAGCAGATCTGACCAGGAGCAATAAGGGTGCTGCTGATTGGTTGAGGAAGTAGTCGTTACAAGCCAATCAGAGGCAGGTTTGTGCAGGTGTTCATACGGAAGCAGAGAAGAGCACGAAAATGTCAGACAGTTGTGGAGTGTGGGAGCCCAGATAGTCTAAAGTAGCACTGAAGGTCCAGATGTCACTTTTGTTTGAGGTAAAAGACACAAATCCAAATGTGACGAGTAATTTATGCAATTACTCGTCATTCTTGATTCGGTTATAAGAAACTTGAATCTCAAGAAGCACCTCACAACATCTCATTCTTCAACAAAACTAGTCACGAGCAGATGTGGGTATTAACTAGTTACATTTACTTAGTTACATTTACATGAGTAACTTTTTGGGAAAAAATTACTTAAACCACTATTTTTACTATGCTGACCTTACTTTTTCTTGGGTTATTTTACTATGAAGTATAGTTACTCTCACTTGAGTAATATTTCTGGATTCTTTACCTAGTGAGTAACTACACTTAAAGAACAAACATGTTTTACCAATAATTCAGACCAGACACAGACACACACCTGCACCTTCTGCTAGTTTCGTTGCTAGGACTCATTGCTGGGCTCAGGGCTCATTTTTAAACGGTCCATTTTTTCCCTTTTAACCATTTTTGCTTGCTTTTGGAGGTGTGCTTTCGGTTTTTATCTTGCTGGAGGACTCAGGATCTTTGCTTCCGACCAAGTTTCCTTACACTGGGCAAGAAATTTTGCTCTTGAATTGCTTGATAATCTTCTGAATTTCATGATCCTTGTGATACGGTCAAGGCCTCCAGTACCAGATGCTGCAAAGCAGCCCCACAACATTATGGATCCTCCACTATGCTTGACTGTTGGTGTGGTGTTCATTTCCTTAAAGGCTTCATTGCGCCGCCTGTAAACATACTGTTTGTGGGAATTATCAAAATGTTTCACTTTTGTTTCATCTGTCCATAAAACATTGTTCCAGAAGGCTTGAGATTTGTTTAGGTTTTCTTTCGGTCTTCCTTGGCTTCCACCCATAAAGTGGATGTTTAGTGTGCGGCGTATGGTACTTGTTGAAACAATTACACCAGACTGTTCCAGGTCTCCTTGGGCTGCCACCTTATCATGGTGGAGGGGTTTGAGTGTCGCAATGATCCTAGGACGTATGCTGTCTGGGGCTTTATGCCCCTGGTAGGGTCGCCCAAGACAGACCTTCCCCAGGGGTCTCCTAGCTGAGGAACCAGACAAAGCGCAACCTGAAGACCCCTTATGAAGAAAAATAACTTTGGATCTGGCGTTCACGTGGGCAATGACAGTGAGACTTGGAGGGGTGTGGTTGGGAGGAACGGCCCCCCTGATCTGAACTCGAGTGGTGTTCTGTTGTTGGACTTCTGTGCTCGTCACGGATTGTCCATCACGAACACCATGTTCAGGCATAAGGGTGTCCATATGTGCACTTGGCACCAGGACACCTTAGGCCGCAGTTCAACGATCGATTTTGTCATTGTTTCATTGGATCTGCGGCCATATATCTTGGACACTCAGGTGAAGAGAGGTGCGGAGCTGTCCACTCACCACTACCTGGTGGGGAGTTGGCTCCAGTGGTGGAGGAGGAAGCCGGTACCCATCAACTGCAGGCCCAAACGTGTAGTGAGGGTCTGCAGGGAACGTCTGGCGGAGTCCCCTGTGAGACGGAGCTTTAACTCCCATCTCCGGCAGAACTTCGAACAAGTTCCAGGAGAGATGGGGGGCATTGAGTCTGAGTGGACCATGTTCCGTGCCTCCATTGCCGAGGCTTTTTGGAGATGCGGCTGCAAGGTTGTTGGTGCCTGTCGCGGCAGCAACCCTCGAACCCGTTGGTGGACACCTTCGGTGAGGGATGCTGTCAAGCTGAAGAAGGAGTCCTATCGGGCCTTTTTGGCCTGCGAGACTCCAGAAGCAGCTGATGGGTACCGGCGGGCGAAGCGGCATGCGGCTCGGGTGGTCGCTGAGGCAAAAACCCGGGCGTGGGAGGAGTTCGGAGAGGCCATGGAGAAAGACTTCCGCACGGCTTCGAGGCGATTCTGGTCCACCATCCGGCGTCTCAGGAGGGGGAAGCAGGGCAGCACCAACACTGTTTATAGTGGGGGCGGTGTGCTGCTGACCTCGACTCGGGACGTTGTGGGCCGATGGGCAGAATACTTCTTAGACCTCCTCAATCCCACCAACATGCCTTCTGTTGAGGAAGCTGAGCCTGGGGACTCTGGGTCGGGCTCTCCAATCTCTGGGGACGAGGTCGCCGAGGTGGTCAAAAAGCTCCTCGGGGGCAGGGCCCCGGGGGGGGATGAGATCTGCCCGGAGTTCCTTAAGGCTCTGGATGTTGTAGGGTTGCGTTGGCTCGCGCGACTCTGCAATATCGCATGGATATCGGGGGCAGCTTCCCTGGATTGGCAGACCGGGGTGGTGGTCCCCCTGTTTAAAAAGGGGGACCGGAGGGTGTGCTCCAATTACCTGGGGGTCACACTCTTAAGTCTCCCTGGTAATGTTTATTCAGGGATCCTGGAGAGGAGGGTCCGTCGGATAGTCGAACCTCAGATTCAGGAAGAGCAGTGTGGTTTTTGTCCTGGTCGTGGAACACTGGACCAGCTCTACACCCTCAGCAGGGTCCTGGAGGGTGCATGGGAGTTCGCCCAACCAGTCTACATGTGTTTTGTGGACTTGAAAATGGCGTTCGACCGTGTTCCTAGGGGGGCTTTGTGGGGGGTAGTCCGGGAGTATGGGGTACCGGGCCCTTTGATACAGGCTGTCAGGTCCCTGTATGACCGGTGTCGGAGTCTGGTCCACATTGCTGGCAGTAAGTCGGGCCTGTTTCTGGTGAGGGTTGGACTCCGCGAAGGCTGCCCTTTGTCACCGATTCTGTTCATTACTTTCATAGACAGAATTTCTAGGCGCAGCCGAGGTGTTGAGGGGGTCCATCTCTGCTTTTTGCGGATGATGTGGTCCTGTTGGCTTCATCGGAACGTGATCTGCAGCTCTCGCTGGAGTGGTTCGCTGCCGAGTGCGAAGCGGCCGGGATGAGGCTCAGTGCCTCCAAATCCGAGGCCATGGTCTTGAGCCGGAAAAGGGTAGAGTGCCTTCTCCGGGTCAGGGGGGTCGTCCTGCCTCAAGTGGAGGAGTTTAAGTATCTGGGGATCTTGTTCACGAATGAGGGAAGAAGGGAGCGGGAGATCGACAGGCGGATTGGGGCAGTGTCTGCCGTGAAGCGGGCGCTGTACCGATCCGTCGTGGTGAAGAGAGAGCTGAGTCAAAAAGCGAAGCTCTCGATTTCCCGGTCGATCTACATTCCCACCCTCATCTATGGTCATGAGCTTTGGGTCATGACCGGAAGTCTGGGCCTCCCTTCTGAAGCTGCTGTCCCCACAACCCGACCCCGGATAAGCGGAAGGAAATGGATGGATGGATGGATGGATGGATGGATGTTCCAGGTTGGTCTTCATGTCTTTAGATGTTGATGTGGTGTTTTTTCCACCATTCACACCAACCGTCAAAGACTTTTATCATCATTTTTTCTCTTCCCTCACGTCCAGGGAGGTTCTTAATAGTTCCATGCCTGGAACACTTCTTAATAACATTATGCACTGTTGAAACAGGAATACGAAAGTTTTTGGAGATGGCTTTATACCCTCTTGTGCTTGCAAATAATAAAATTTGTGTTGTCCTCAGGCATCTCCTTTGTCTGTACCATTGTCGCACAAGAAGAAGGTGGCTTTTAAAATACCAACATGATCAATCATTGGTCAATTCATCATGTCACATGGGTGGAGGCAGTTCATCATAGGTGATCCTTATTTGTGATTTGCAACAGGTGAGCTGAATTGCGTTTTCATACTGATTTGCAACAAAGGGTGCCAATACCGTTGACATGGTAAACATTGTTTTTCTATGTTTTCCTCATAATATTTATCTTTTTAAATGTTCTTTATCATTTGCTGTTTTGTATCAAATACAAGCTATCTGTAGTAAATTTTTCGCTTGATGAATTTCTTTCAGTTAAATATTCCATGATATGTACTTACACTTCATGGGTGCCAATAATTGTGAGCAGGACTGTACATTTCAAAGTTCTAGTAAGAGGGGATTCAGAATGGTTTTACTTTTTTTTTTTATTAAATTCAATTTTATGTCAAATATACATATTAATAGAGTCACATTGACATGTGTGTGCATAAATAATTTATCACAACCCAGCACTGACGTTATTTTTAAGTGGCTGTTGTTGATCAATAGTCGCATTGTGTTCATGTCTAAAATCATAATCTATTGTGAAATGAGCACAGAGCAGCACATTTCTTCTGGTGATGTTGCTCCTTTAAAGCCGCGCTGCTGCATGTTGCTACATTTCTGTCCAGGCTACCATATGTGAGAGTGCTGCTCCAGTTTCCTCCTCGGTGTCACTGTCTTGCGTGTTAATTCTTCTTCAATGTGTCTGTGGTCCTGTTTACATTATTTACATGCTGTAAATATATGTGTGCTTGGTCTGCCTCTGCTCCGTGTAACACTCAGCTTTGTTTTTACAATAGACCTGCGTGGCATGTTGACAGCATGTGCATGTTGAAGCCTGTTTGCTGGATTTATGCTGTGTACATCTGCAGCCCATCAGTGTCGTTTTCTTTTCTCCTCCTGCATCAAGTCAATATGCAGGCTTATTGTGTATTATTTGGTTTCTGCCACTGCGTCTCGCTCCTCTCAGCGCAGAGTCCTGCTAGGTAGTCAGATATATGCCTGCAACATTTTTGTAGGTTAAAGTTTACACTTCTGCATTTGAGGCCTTCCTCTCTCTTTTTTGGAAATATTTTATTTTTGCAGTGCAGGAAACTAAAGAAAGGTAGAATTTGTATTAAACTGCATCTGTAAAATTAAATACAAACATGTCTGCTTTTTTATCCTCTCACCCTATTATTCTTTATGGCTGTAAAGAAGATCATTTGTTTTTTCTTTAGTTCCTACTTCTGATGTTCTCATCAAGATTTTTTGTCCCTGAATCTGATCAAAATTGATTAATATTAAATGTTTGCCGGTAACACATCTCAGTCCAACTTGCACATTACCTGGGCCATGCCATGTTATTGGTGTTATACAAGGGGTCATTCAAAGTGCTTTACAGGAAAAACGCAAAGAAACAACAACCCTATCAAAAGAATATTTGGTTCATCAAAAAGCTTAAAAAACACTGAAGTGACAAACTTTCAGTGTTTTAAAACAACAATGTTTTAAAACATGTTGGAAATTAGAAAAATTTGAGGGTAAGCTATAATAAAGTTACTTTTCTAATTCTGATTTAAAGGAGCCAATAGTTTGTGTACATCTCATTTTTTCAGACAGTTTGTTCCAGAGCTGGGGAACAGCAAACCCACAGGGTCAATGTTTACATCCAGGATTTTTTGCCTTCTCTAAGTAATTAACTTCAGTAGACTGAAGTTACTTCTTGTAACCATGGTTGTAAACATGGAGTCTTATTTTATAGATCAGTTTTTTTCAAAGGTTAGATATACATAATGATTTGAGTGGAATCCTTTATGCAGAACCAACTGAAGCCTCCAGAGGGATTGTAAATAATCCCAGCTTAAGCTCCTTATTTGGTATGTTCCTTTTTAGCGCTTATTGCCTTTATTTTGTTAGTTGACTTCTGGTTTATGAATTTAATGCTTTTATTTTGATGAGAGAACTTCCGCTGTTTATGTTGTGTAGCGGCAGCTTGGCAACAGAAGGAACGAAAGATAAGTGGCGACAGTTATAAAATGTATCTTATTAGCGGCCCCCTTGATAGAGGGACAAGGTATGTTTATTTTGTAACTAAGATATTTCTAATATTTATCAGTTGGAATTGTGATTTTTGCTTTATTGTAATTAAATACGGTATAGTTTTTGAATTCAGTGGTAACACTTTATTTGAAGGGGTGTGCATAAGACTGACATGACGCTGTCATAAACATGACATAACACCTATCATGAACATAAAGAAGTCTTTATGAATGTTTATGACAGTTATCATGAAGTGTCATTCGGTAAATAATGACACTTTTAATGCAAAGTTGCTCTAAAAGCTGCATTAAAAGTCCATTAAAAATGCCAACTTTGTCAACATATTCCTATATTTAACTTGTACCTTTTACCACTTAACAGATGAGTCAGTCAGCAGCAGCTCTAACCCACGTTCCTCCTGACCTATCCTCTCCTGAATGAAATTAAAGCTGCAGTATGTCACTTTTATATAAATATTTTTTTTTCACATATTTGTTAAAACTCTCATTATGTTGTGACAGTATGGTATGAGAGGTAAACTGTGAAAAATCTATTTCCTCTGCTTTCTCCCAAGGTTCTCTAGAAACATCCAGTCAGTGGCAGGAGAGTTTTAGTGCTGTCAATCATAATCTCATGTGGTGTTGCTCATTCTTCCTCCACCTCGATTTGTGCTGTACTGCAGCTAGCATAGCACAGAGCTGTGCAGATTCAAACTGTGAATGCTCAGTTTAGTTAGCATAGCTACCAGTAAACGGTTTCTAGTAATAAGTTGTTTCTCCACCATTAGCACATTTAGCAGTGAGTGAATGAGGCTAATTGACAGTGCTAAGAGCGTCCTACTAGTTCTGATTGGTTGTTTTTGGTCAGAACGGTGCATTGCTTTAACCAGTAATAGTAATTCAGGAAGGAGATGGAGGAGACTGATTGTTTTCACAGATTATCTGTCTCATAACAAACTGCTACGACATTGTAACAGCTTTAACAAATATGGAGAAAACATTTTTTTTAATTAAAGTTATGTACTGCAGCTTGAATGAAATGCAACTACACAGCATTTTTGAGAAGTCTGGATTGCTTCATGCGTAGTTGTACGTTGCTTTTGACTGCTTGTGGAGAGAGACATTTCAGTAATCTAAAACAAAGAAAAAATTTAAGCAACCTACTTGCATACTGGATGTTAAATTCATGAGCAGTAAATATTGTGCTAATTATCAGTATTGAACCAAAGAAAGCAAGGCATATGCAAGCCTTTAAAATTGTGACGCTTGTTATGGGTCAAATAGACTCAAAAAATTGCAACAGCAGCGGCCCAAACAAATTTTTTGTCAGGGGGCCCACGATTCCTGGCGACTCCCCTGCTTGCCAGGGAGGCTTATTGCTCACCATGTATATGCTTTTTCTTATTTAGAGGGACTCGACATATTTCATGCATGATTTTATAAATTATGATAATTTAATGTAAAGTTGGCATTTTTAATGGACTTTCAATGCAACTTTTAGAGCAACTTTGCTTTAAAAGTGTCATTATTTACCGAATGACACTTCATGACAACAGTCATAAACATTCATAAAGACTTCTTTATGTTCATGACAGATGTTATGTCACGTTTATGACAGTGTCATGTCAGTCTTATGCACACCCCTTCAAATAAAGTGTTACCGAATCAATTGATGTTGTTAGCAGTGAGCGTGTTTGTATCTTATATGGTCTTTTTGTGTTTGTGTTTGTGCAACAACTCTTACGGTGAAACTCAGGGTTTACTCCCAAATAAACCTGTTCATCAGTAAAGCCAAAATCCTTGATTTGAGGGGCGTTCTGCTGCAGGGATTATCAATCGATTTCACATTGCGTCAGCAGCTACTCTACCGCACAGGTCACCTTAAGAACGCAGGCAAGAATATATTATTCTAACTATGTAAACTATTTAGGCAATGAAATAATTTGCAACTTGCCACAAGCGCAGGTCAGCTCTCTTTTCACCCTGCGACATTCCTGCACGCAGCTTTGCGGCGTCTGCAGTTGTTAGAGGTTTGAATTTTAGCACATCGTCTCTGCCTCCCATTTAACCCGCTGGATTTTTAATTTCTGAAGGCTTAGTTTATCACCAGCCTTGATGGATGCAGCTACATCTTCATTTTCCCTCTAATTGTAACCAAAATAGGAAGAAATGTTATTTGTCCTTTGCATGCTAAATATGAAGTTCTTTTTTTTTAAAATAAAAACATGGATGGAAATAAGGGCAACCCTATTCCGTTGCCCTTATTTCCATCCATCCATCCATTTTAAAAAAAAAGAACTTCATATTTAGCATGCAAAGGACAAATAACATTTCTTCCTATTTTGGTTACAATTAGAGGGAAAATGAAGATGTAGCTGCATCCATCAAGGCTGGTGATAAACTAAGCCTTCAGAAATTAAAAATCCAG